AAATCATGATTCAGAGCTTGCCAAGTATTTTAAAAAAAGAAAGAAAAGAAAAAAGGCAGTAATCAGACTGGGCTCTAGATTAGCCTATTTAGAGCACACTGAAAGTTTATAGCTTCCTGGCTGAGTTGCTGCTGAGATCCTTGAAGAACACTGCACTCAATACTTGGGGGATCACAAAAGCAGGAGCCTAGAGAATAGAGACAGAATAATAGCTTGAATATTTTTTTCCAATTACATGTAAAATATTTTAACATTTATTTTTTGTAAATTTTGAGTTCCAAATTCACTCCTTCATTGAGAATGTAAGCAATTTGATATAGATATATACATGTGCAGTCATGCATAACATATTTCCATGTTAGTCGTGCTGTGAGGGAAAACAGACCAAAAAAACAAGAAAAATAAATAACTCTTTAAAAAGTATGCTTTTATGTGCATTCAGACTCCATCAGTTTTTTCTCTGGAGGTGGATAGCATTTTTCATCATGAGTCCTTCAAAACTGTCTTGGATCATTGTATTGCTGAGGACAGCTAAGTCATTTATAGCTGATCACCATACAATATTGCTGGGTACGATGTTCTCATAGTTCTTCTCACTTCACTCAGCATCGGTTCATATAAATCTTTCCAGGTTTTTCTGAGAACCCTGACACATATTTCACTTTAAAAAATGTAATTCAATCAACAATAACTCCTCCCTCTTTTCCCCTCTTCTGCATCTCTCCTCTCTTAAACGTCTTCCCCTACTATCTCCTTTACCATTGTTTTACATAAAGAAACAGTCCTTCTCTTGTCAAAGAAAGCCCTTCTACATGTATGTGATTCCATTCCAGCTCCTCCAATAGATTGCCTGCTTTATCATTCCCACTGTTTCACTAATGTTCAATCTCTCCCTGTCTACTGGCTACTTCTCTGATGCCTACAAAAATATCTATGTCTCCTTCATCCTCAAATACTGTCTTGAACTGCTCATCCCTGCTAGCTATCATCCTGTTTCTCTAACCATTTGGTACTGGAAAAAGTGATCTATAATTTATGCCTCCACTTCCTTTTTTCTCACTCTCTTCTTAATACTATTAAAGCAGTGTAAATTCCACCTTCATTCAATTGAAAGTACTATCTTCAAAGTTACTAATGACCTCTTAATTGTGAAATCTAATGACCTTTTCTCAATCCTCATTATTCTGGACTTTTCTGCAGTCTCTGACACTGTCAATAACCCTCTTTTTGATACTATCTTTCACAAAGGTTATTAGTGATACTTCTTTCTCTGAACTTATCTGACCATTCCTTTCTTAGTATCTGGGGGTGAGAGGTGGAACTGAGAAGGCACCAGCATTAAATGGGATTGGAAAAGGCTTCTTGACAAAGGTGGGAATTTAAGGGAAGCCAAGGAAGCTAGGAGGCAGAGTTAGGAGGGAGGGTGTTTCAGGTATGTGGGGGTCAGTCAGTGACAATTTATAGTCGGGAAATGGGTATTGGAAACAAAACCACATATACATGTGTGTATGTGTGTGCACGTCTGTATGGTATGTATGTGTGTATATAGTTGTTTATATTTGTCTCTTCCATTAGAATGAATTCTTTGAGAGCTGACATGATTTTTGCCTTTCTTTGAACTCTCATCATTCAACACAGTACTTAACACATAGTAGATCCTTGATAAATGTTTGTTGACTGACTGACTGATGAGATCATCAAGAGGGTAGAGGGAAAAGAAAAGAGAGTTCGGGACAGAGTCTTAGTAGCCAGAGTTAATGGGTGTAACATGGATGACTGACCAGCAAAAGAGAAAGGAGAATGACTGAGAAGTAGGCAGAGAAATAAGAGTTCAACCAGTAGAGAACAATGGCATAAAAATCCTAAAGACAGAGTAGCTAGGACAAGAAGGCAGTCAATGTTGTCAAATGCTGCAAAGGTTAAGATGGATGAGGACTGGGTAAGAGTCCATTAGATTTGGTCTTTAGTTCATGTTCTCATTACTTCTAAGTTAAACTATTACAATGGAATCCTAATTGATATCCCTGCCTTCTGTCTCTCCCCTCTCAAATCCATCCTCCATACACCTACCAAAGTAATATTGCTAAGGAAAAGGACTGACCACATCATTCTACTGCTCAAAAAGTTTCAGTGAAATCCTATAATCTCTAGAATAAAATACAAACTCCTCCCTTTGGAATGTAAGGTCTTTCACTACCTTGTTCTAAACTGCCTCTTCAGGATTATTAAACATAACTTTCTTCCAGTCAAACTGGACTACTTATTGTCCAAATACATTCTAGTTCCTGTTTCTGAGCACTTTCCCATATCTAGAATGCACTGCCTTCTTACCTGTCTTTTAGAATCCTTAGCTTTCCATAAGAAATGAAATAAGTGATGAGTTCAAAGAAACTTGGGAAGACTTATATGAACTAATGCAAAGTGGAGTAAGCTGAGCAAGGAGAAAGAATTCTACAATTACAACAACATTTTAAAGACAAAAAAATCTACGAAAGCCAACATTTTTGATCAATAAATTGACTAACCATGAGGGACTAGATGATGATCTATTCTACTGAACTCCTAACAGAGTCGTGAAGGATTTGACACGCAAAATGTGACATAGAGTAGCTGGAGTTTTGGGCTTCACCAAACACTATGCTAGTATGTTTCTTTTTGTATATCATCAAAGCTGATAAATTGTGTTTATTTCATATCCCTCAACTTTAATAAAGTTATTGTTTTAAATAACTGTAGTTGAATTTTAAGGTTCTCTAAATAGACCGTTATAAAAGGCAATAGATTTGTTTCCTCTTTGCTTACACTTAATGATCCTCAGTTTCACAGGGTTACTGAGGAAACCATCTATATGCTCCTAAAGGCCTGGCAATCTGGTTTCCTTCCCTATCACTACTCTAAAATGGTTGTTTCAAAAGTCATTAATAACATACTAATTAATGAATCCACTGGGCTTTTTCCTCAGTCTTCAGTCTGTTCACCTCTACGTAACTCAGAATGTTTTTTGTATTTTCTAACTGCTCAACACAGAACCTCTATTGTTTTTACCATCTCTCTAACTTATTTTTCTCAAATCCTGGGTTTTATTCTTTTTTCTCTTCCTCAAAAATATTCATATTTTGTGAGGTTCTCTCCTCAGCATCCTCCTCTCTGTACTGCAACTCTGACCATTTCTTAAGCACACGACCTATAATTCCAGCTGTCTACTGGGTAGATTATGCTCCAAACATTATAAATAAAATTAAACCTTTCATCTTTCCCCCAAAACCTACTTTTTCTTACTGGTTTCTTCATTTTAATTGATGATAATACCATTTTGAAGTTGCAAGCTGCCAAATCTAAGACTTATCTTTGACTGATAAGGCCATAACTAGAATTCTGGTACCTAGATCATTTCTGGTATTAAGGGCTACAAAATAATAGCACATTGACAAGTATGTGAGAGTGGGACTTTGTTGAGACACTTCCTCAAGCAAGAGTCCCCACAGGGGAGAAAAAAAAACTTTGGGATGCAACCCTGAGGAGAGAGTAAGCAGAAACCCTGATAGAAGCAGGTTCTGAAGCAGAAACCAAAAGCAATCTTAGAGGGACAGGGAACTAACAGGGAAGGGAGCCAGAGGAAGCTGAACCAAAGAGATATATGTAAGACAGTGATGTTTTGGTTAAAAAAGTCACAGGAATGGTGATTTTGGTAAGAGGCTAAAAATTATTTATACCAACAATGTGTCCTTTTATTCCTGGGTTTGCAAAACCCAGGTTTGATTTCTTGGAGACTTCTGTTTCATAATAATAAAAGTACATCTACAAAAAGTTACTGTGATCCAACTGGTCCATATCATCCTCAAAACATTTAAGGATGAAAATGAAAAGCAGACAATAAACAAATTAAATAAGGAAAAAAGCTGTCAAGATTTTTATAAATAAGTGCTTTCTCCACCAATGAGTCCTCATTTGATACATACAGAAGTGGAAATAACACTAAAGAAAAGCTACACCAACCCAAAACTACACTGATGAGGACTGTGCTAGAGGAAATACAACATAAGGAGCACTGCAATGAAGGATAAGTTCTCAAGATATCTGAAAGAAATGAATATTGAATTAAATGACTGCAGGGATCTTTGCATTACTATATGAAAGAGAAGAGAGCAAGAATATAGAACTCCTGTTTTGATATGTTTACTTTTTCAACATCATAGACTTTATAAGACTGATTTCCATAAGGCATCCCTAGTGAAAATATAAGAAGAGAAAAGGTAGGTTTTTATAAATGTCATTCCATAGAAGACTACATTTTTAGTCATAAAATTGAATGAAAGGAGCAGATGACACAAGATCCCAATGTGTTTAAATTGTGTGGACTATGAAAAAAGCATTTGAATAAGTAGAGTAAAATGAAGTCTGAAATACTTTTCTCAAGCAGATATTTCCCATGTACCTGTAAAGATTACAAATAGTTCATTTGTGGATATAAGAGCAAAAATAAGTTTGCATGGTTAACATTTGATTGTCATTATCAAGCAAGGCATAAAACAGGGAGACTAAAGCTTTCCAAAGCTGTTTACCAAGATCAAGGGAGTACAGCCTTAACAAGGTACAAATTGAGGAGGAGTTCCCATGGGCTCCTGTGGATAATGCAAAGCCTCCTATGTGAGATCAATAATAATTCAAGAGTTCAGCTTAATTATCCACATAGAACAAGCCAAATGGGTGATGGATATTGTCAAGAATTTGACAGTCAGCTGAATGCAGACTATATAGAGTTGATTCTAGAATTGAATAGGAGGAAAAGAAAGAGGCTAAATTACATTTATGAAGTTTCATTGCTCTTTCAATGATTTCAAACTTCCACACAGGGGAAAAAATAAACTAACATTTTGTTTCATATCCATGTTTTTCAATTCTCAATGAGATATAGTTATGAATTGTTTAAACAAACATAATGTAAGTCAGAAAAAAAACAGTTTGACTAGTAGTATAACTGCTTTACTACAAGTACTCACCTAAGGATGCATAAGCAAATTTTGCCTCCCGATGTTAAACGACAAAATCCAAATCTCTGTTTACTTTCGATATCTGTTAGCACAAAAGTAAAGTGTTGTCCAACTTGATTTTGGGAAACCCTAAAAAAGAGTAAGATTATTAAATATTAAGTCATACAATATAGAAAAAGATGCCATAAAAATTCCATACATACAGAGGATTTCTTTTAGCTAATAACTAAGGATATATTTCTTCCTTAATACTGCCTATATTATAAAACCTGATACATTTAAAATACTGAATATTTTATGGCAAACACAATAGCAGTTATTGTATACCTGATTTTATTAAATATAAATCATTTATCCAAAATTTTAATTTATCTAAAATTTTAATATCTATAGATGTTAATGAAATTACCTAACTTTCAGTTAAGTGTGTGTGGTAGATTCTTTCAATTTCTATTTCACCCTCTGGTTCCAGAATATCTTCTGAAAGGGCAATCTTTCTTGATAATTTCTTGGCAGATGATGTTTAGATTCTTTCTTTGATCATTATTTTAAGGAGGATTTGCACTTTAATGTGAGGGCTTGCTGAGTCCTTTTCAGGGCTATTCACCCACCTTTGGTGTCCACCTTCACCCACCTCTCACCTGTTGGCTGTGGCTCTAAGAAGCTGCAGCATGCACAGTGCCCTTACCCTGGCAAACCATCTCAGAAGATAGGCTAAAACCTACAGGCTTCAAACCTGTTGGTGAATTAGGGGATGTCTACCCCAAGCATGTGAAGACTTTCCCCATGGGAATGGGTAGGCAAAAACAATTTGTTCCAAAAGCCATGAAGGTGGATGAAGCAGACACTATGGAATACTGAGAGCTTGGTCAGACATCAAAGACGCCAAGGTCATCCACTGCATCCTGGGTCATCACCAATCATCTTAACTTTTATCTTGGCACTGGACTTTGATGACTCAGGAAGAGAGAATGAGGCTGGTAACTTTGTACAACTCTGCCTCAATTAAATCCAATTCATATGGAAGTCAAGACATCACCCATGATAACCCTCGTCCTCTTTGAAAACAAAGGATGAACAACATCATATTACATACACACACACACACACACACACACACACACACACACACACACACATAAAATACTTCAAGAAATAAGGAAACCTACCATATAAAAAGAAAACAAAGTATGCGCAGTGGTAATCAGGAAAAAAAAAATTAATCCACTGATGTTAATGGAATTTCACTACAAATGTGTGCATGCACATACTATTACTGTTGTTGATAAATTGTTTAGGAAAATGAAAATAAACATATTTGACTTTTCATTTCTTTTTTTGTGGCTGACTGTGATCTTGGGATTATTGATAAATACATTCCACAAAATGAAATGTTTCTTAAAAAGCAAATCTTTGGAAAGAAATGAAAAGGAAATCTTTTAGAAAATAGAGTCGAGACATTTCATCCTGACAATAACTGCTATTATTAAGAATATTTAAAATTTCTCTACAAATACCAAATTTTAAAATTGATTTATTTTAAACTTAAATACTAGAACTTAAATATACATAAGAAAAGAAAAAGAAACATATTATACATTTAATTATTAAATTATTGAAACTTAAATAAAAAAGGATTGCTATGTGCACAGCAGAACATAAGAGGGTTCAAAATACACAGCAATAAACTTCCATTTCAAGAAAGTCTATACAATAAATACCATGCATTGTGTTTAGAGCTATCCATCTTTTCTTTGCTTCCTTGTAAGTTTTCTTTTGTTCTCTGCTGTGCACTTTTTACTTCCTCCCCCATCCTCCCCTCCCCCCAAAAAGGCTGCAATTAAGCGTTAATATATATACATACACACATATATACATACACATACATATATATACACAAATATATATATGCATATATACACTTATATACACATACATATACTTAGGTATCTTTAATCATACTTATATACAAACATATACGTTCATCTATTTAAGACCGTATTATACTTATTTGTCCTCTGTTTCTCTTAGGGTGGACAACATCATCCTTCATAAGTCCCAAGTCTTTCCATATTTTTCTAAGTCCACCAACTCGTCATTTCCTACACCACAGCAATATTCCAACCTTACACTGTCTAGTTATTTTAAATAGTCCAGAACATTATTGGTTAATATGGCTGATATATAGTATAGTTTCCCTATTTTTCTCTTTCTATTAAATCTATTTTAACTTTAACTTTGTCTGAGATCATGATTACTACCCCTGCTTTTTTTCCCTAATAAATTCTATTTCTACCTGCTACCTCGCCCTCCTATTACTTAACCTACACCCCCTCCAAAGATCCCTCCTTTATTCTCCAATGACCGTTAACTTAAACACCCTTCCATACTCCCCCATATCCTATTCCCTCTCCCTCTTATTTCTTTATAAATTTGTAAGACTTTTATTCCCTTCTAAATGTATAAGTTATTTTCTCTTTAACCCAGATCTGATGTGAGTAGGGTTCCCTCTAAAAATCCCTCCCTTATACTCTCCCCACCCCCATCCTCTTAGCCTTTTATTTCTTTCTGAATTTAGAAGACCTTTATAACTTTCTAGATATATATGTATTGTTCTCTCTTTAACCCACCCCCAATGAGAGCAGGGTTCCAGAACTACTAGCCCTCCTCCCCTATCCAATTTCTCTGTCAGTCTTCCTCTCACACCTCATTTGTATAAGATAATTACTCTTTTTACCTTTTCCTAAGTGGTTATTTTTTGAAATCAAATCATACTCAGTTCTACCCCAATCTTTCTTTCAAACTACCCAATTACTAATAACAATCTTAGACCTGTATTTTATATTTACTCATTTAAAATGTAAACAGTCTGTCCTTATTGAGTCCCTTGTAGTCTTTGATGTATACCTTATATTTCTCTTGGATCTTACACGTCAAATTTTCTTTAGAGTTGAGGATTTTTTGCAACAAAAACCTGAAAGTCTGGCAATTCATTGACTATCCATTTTTTTCATTCAAGATTATGCATAACTTTGTTGGGTATGGTATTTGCAACTGCAACCCCAGTTCTTTTGTTCTTCAATATATATTGTTCCAAGTCTTGTGACCTTTTAGTGTCCTTGCTGCTAGATTTTGTGTGATTCTAACTGTACCTCTGCCATATTTGAATTGTGTTTTTTTTTCTTGTTGCTCGTAATATTTTCTCCTTGAGCTGGAGTTTTCAAAATTTGACTATGATATTCCCATAGGTTTTCCTCATAGGATCTCTTTCAGGGGTGATCAGTAGATTGTTTTCTATTTCTACTTTCCCCTCTTGTTCTAATGCTTCAGGACAATTTCCATTAATTATTTCCTGTATTATTGTATCAAGATTCTTTTTTTTTTTTGACTGTAGCTTTCAGGTAGTTTGATTATTCTTATGTTTTCTCTCCTTGATTTGTTCTCCAGATAAGTTGCTTTTCTTATGAGATGTTTCACATTCTCTTCCATTTTTTTCACCCTTTATATTTTATTATTTCTTGGCCTCTTATGACTTCACTGGCTTTCCCTTGTCTAATTCTCATTTTCAATGAGCAGTTTTCTTCCTTAAGATTCTGGATCTTCTTTTCCAGTTAGTTGGTTGGCTTTCTTTTCATAATCTTCTTTTTTATCTTGGATTGTTCGTATTTTTTTAAAATTTTCCCTCAATCTCTCTCATTTGATTTTTAAACTCTTTTTAAAGTTCTTCTATGAATTCTTTTTGGGCAGGTGACCATTTGATATCACTCTTTGGGGTAGAAGAGGCTTTTTTTTGCTTCAGTACACTCCTCTAAAGATGAATCCAAGTCTTTTCTATTCCCATAGTAACTTTCTATAGTAGGGTTCTTTCTCCTTCACCTGCTCAGTTGTTTGTTTGTTTTTTTTAATTCACAACAGCTTATTATTGTAATCACCTCTAGTTCTGTGGTATAGGGGATGGTGCTTCTGGCCTCAGATCCTCCTTCAGTTCTCCCCTCTGGCCTGGAACTGAAAACAAGAATTCTACCCTCCTGTGAGTATCCAAAGCCAGTGGCATCCATGCCCCACTGCTCCTGCACTCACCAGGAATGTGGTAGTTTCTTTTTGCCCAGAGTCACATCTTGGCAGCACAGCTGGGCCTGATGTCCCTTATCAGCAGAGATTCCCTCAATCTTCCCACTCCCCCCTTCAGACGCCTGACTCCTCACACTGTCCATACATTGTCTGGGAGGTGAAAATTCCTGTGGCTGGAGCCCAGGCTACCTTCCAACCCAGCTAGCCCCAGGGCTCACACTTGCTGTTTCACAGAACTAGCCTAGAGGTGATTTATACTTCACAAGGACCAAACTCTGGACCTATGATTTTTCTTCAGATCTTGTCCGGTTGTCCCAGGAGAAGCACTGTTCTGCCCGAATTCTTGTTTGTTTTTACTGCTCTACATTCACCCTGAGGTGCTATTTTGTCTTGTTTGTGGGGGAAATCTGGAGAGCTTAGAATTTTCTGACCTACTCTGCCATCTTCCCAGAATCCTCTACAAATAACATATTACAATGGATGGAGTAATTATTAGGTCTGTAGTAGAATCATGTGATGATCACCAACAAATGTGGTATAATGGAATTATAGTGAAGAGAAACTAAACACAGGGAGACCAAATAAATGATTATTGCAATAGAATTGACATCAGATCATGAGGGCCTTATGGTTGCAGCAGCATCAAAAGAGAGAAGCGGGCATACAAAAGATGTTGCAAATGTAGAATTAACAGGACTTGACAACAGATTGGCAGAGGTTGGGAGGCAATGAGAAGTCAAAGACATCTAGGTTGCAAACCTGAGTGAGTGACTAGGAAGATAGAGGTACCCTCAATAGTAATAGGGAAGTTAGGAAGAAGGGTGGTATTTTTCTTTCTTTCTGAGGGAAAAGAATAGGAAAAATAATAAGTTCAGTTTTGGACATGTTAAATATAAGACATCTATGTATTTATGTGTATTTATCTGACCACAATTTTTTATCATCCATTTTTCTTTCTGCTTAATGACCCCTAAACCTATTCATCATCCTTACCTCTTTATCCAGTGTTTCTACCCCTCAGTTCTTTCTTATACCATCACCTCTGCATAGACTACACC